GTATTCCCAAATAAAATACTTCTCACATGAACCAATGCCTTTGCACCATCCGAAACTCACCTGAACGTGTGCATCACGATCATCACGCTTTGGGTTATGACATTGTCGAGGGCAGGAAAACTCACCATGAGCCAAGTACGGTTATGGAAAAGTACATAACAGCAGTGAATAAACCCTAAACCTTAGCCCACAAACCCTCAACCCCTTAACACGTGACCTTAAACCGTGGACCAACCTTTACGTTGCCCATTGCCTACTGCAGCAATGTTGCATCAACAAGTAGACCTGCGGAGGTTTAGAAGATTTGGATGGTCCCTTTGTAGGGTGGGTCCCATAGCAAGGACTATGTTATATGTAGGTGCAAGTAAGAAAGGCCCCTAGAAGAAAGTTATATGCTGAGTTTGAAAAGTTCCTGCACAAGCCGCCTGATATGAAAAAGGCCAAACTTCGAAACATCCAGATGCTAGGTCAGTCTCCGCTACAATAACTGTTATCACAAAAGGTACTAGGGATTTAAAGTAATAACCCCTTCATACCACCCCTTTAACCCTAAACCCTACACCCAAGGACAGTTCGTGTAGGGGGGAATGACCCAACCCGGATGGGAGTTTGGCAAGGTTAGCACTCCTTTGGGACCATGGGGTGGGTTTAGGGTTTAGGGTTTAGGGGTGGGGGGTGGGGGGTGGGTGGGTGGGTTTAGGGTTTAGGTTTTAGGGCTTGGGGTGTGCAGGCTATAGAGATGCTAGAAAACAAATTATGTCATGACAACACCAGAAAAACATCTCTCCTTGATTCTACCCCCGCCCCCCACCCCGCCCCTCTTGGAAAAAAAACGTATTCCCAATATAAATATACCATCACATGTGGGTAATGCTCCATGTGATTTGCCATTTGATTCTGCATGATAGTGGGATAGGGGCCGCATACATTCAATCAAAGAGCAGTTTCCACGTTCTTTTCCCTTCTCCTGTATTCCATATATAACCCGGTTAGGGTCAATGTAGTGCACTATCATATAGGGATCCCTTTCAAAGGACACCCTGGCAATCGCCCGTCATCTGGGACCGGTGCTCCGCGGAATCTCGGACTGCCAAGAAGAAGGCTACAAACCTCTGGGATGTATTAGGTGGACCCCCCACACAGTAATAGTGACTATAGGGGATAATAGGGATTATATTCGGGTCCTCTTATATTCCTATTATACCACTATTACAGGGTGGGGGTCCTCCTAATGTATGGCGTGTTGATTGGGGGAGGGTTAGGGTTCGACGTATAGGGCGGGAATGGGGTCCTAAGTTGTGTAGGCCGGTCCTGGGGGAGCGGGGACTATGAACAAAATGAGTAGAGAGGCAGTCTTGCATGTTCCGCAAAACCCTTGCGCAAGAAACAAGAGACGGAGAAGTTGGCATATCGATAGTTCCCAAAAGTAGGTCCCATTTTGGCACCCCTAAATGTCAGGTGCCGTGATATATAATATGTAACCAAAATGGGTCCAGAATTAAGAACAAAACATATTGTGACGGTAAACGTGGTCGCCGGCAATCGGGTGAAACAACTCTGGACCGGCTGGGCGTCAAATGTGAGTGTAATCTGGTGAACCAGCGTGCAAGCCATGGGCTGGATCACGAATATTTGCGAATCAATGAAATCGAAGGATGGAACAACAAAACCTTAAACCCTAAACCGCAGTGGGAATATTGAGAAAGCCCTGCAAGGCTCGTGCACCGGCTTCATGAGAAACTCTCATGTCCGCAACCTGAAGAGCAAAGCTGTGTATCAAATTGTAGTACAGCAAAAAGCATCATCTGATAATCTGTTCAACCTCATACTCTACGATTGTGCTAACCTGATCGGGCTCTTTAAGCATTTGTTGTCTATCTCTTACATTTATAGGGTTCTGCGGGGACTGAGACTTGCAAATCTACCCCGAGTGAACTCCAAGCCCCAAACCCTTCACCCTAAGCTTACGTCCTAAATCCTTGCAGCCTGAACCCTGAAAAAAACCGGAATCCTAAATCTTTCAACGCTGAATCCTGAACCTTAAGGCCGAACAACAAATCCCTACACTCTAAAACCTGAAACCCTGAAACCCCAAAC